AATAATTTCGCCCCCTCTGGCCCCCGGAGGAGCTGGGGGAGCCTCCAAAGGGTCCTAGGGTGTGTTCCGTAAGACGGACCTCTCCATAAGGCTCACCAAATTTTTAGGAGAAGAAAACAGATTATTTTTTCCTGTTTTCTTCTCCTAAAAGCTTGGTGCGTCTTGTGCGTCTTATGCAGCAAAAAATACAGTAGCTTCTGGAGCCCAGTTAACCAACTGGTGTCTTCATGGAAATTCCACCAAAAAGAACACTTGCATTGATTTGTGGACTCTAGAAGGGTTTCACCAAACAGTTTTTAATGTTTAGCAATGGCTTATCAGCATTACACATCATGATGTCCAGACCCTTTTTTGCAGTGATGAGAGAAATGCTGGGGATTCAGGGCTTAGCACAAAGCTCCACCAGTGGAACTCCATCTCTGTTGCAAAGGATACATTTGAACTGGGAAAAATTACTTTCTGCTCCTCGGAATGGCTCTCTGTCCATTTTCATTTGAACAGAACCACAGGCAAAACAGTAGATGCCAGAGAGGATAACCTAGGACATGGGAAGAAAAATGGCTTCTTTTCCAAACACAGTTCAATTTCCAACAATACAGCCATTATAATGAAAGATTGCAGAGGGGATGAGGTGACCAAGAGGCCAACCCACACTGACACACAAATGCTGTATGTACAAGCACCACTACAGTGGAGTCTCGACTTACGTACGACTCCACTTACGAGCGTTTCGACCTACGGCCTTCACTTCGACTTGCAGCCGGAGAATCGACCTATGGACCAGAATTTGGCGCTCTCCCTGCCTCCCCCTTCCAGTCTGTAGGCCGCAGGTCATGCCTCCAGATGCTTTTCAGGGCTTCTCCGCCGCCATGGAAGGCATCTCAGAGGTCCCCCACCGCTGCCAATAGTGGCTCCGAAGCACTATCGGCGGTGTGGGGGGACCTCAGAGATGCCTCCCATGGTGGCAGGGAAGGCCTCCGGAGGTTCTTCAAGCCGACTCAGGCTTTCCCAGGGTGGACAGGGCCTACCGGGGGAGGGCTTCCCCTGGTAGGCCCAGTCTACCAGGCTTTCCCAGGCAGAAGACCAGGCCTACTGGGGGAAGCCCTCTCCTAGTAGGCCCGGTCCACCCTGGGAAAGCCTGCGTTGGCGGGGGACCTCCGAGAGGCCTCTGGCAGCGGCGCCGAGGCCTCGGAGTCCTCTGCAGCGGTGATGGCGGCGGCGGGGGACCCCTGGAAGGCTTCGGAAAGGTAAGTTCCCTTTCTAAAAAATTTTTTGTGGGGGGGGCGTTTTCTTGGGCAGGTTACAGATTAAATGGTTTTCAATGCATTCCTATGGGGAATGCATTTTTGACCTGTGGACATTTTGAGCTACGGACCCCGTTCCAATATGGATTAATTCCATAGGTCGAGAGCCCATTGTATATGGGCCTATAGGGTAAAGGTCTAATAATGCAATAAAAGTGGGTTGTTTAAATCAAGGAGTTATAGTCTGATAATTTATAAAACGCATCTTTATTTTTCCACATTCAGCAACGCAAAAGCTGTTCAAACATCCTTCTAAAGATTAAGAATAACTTTTTTTTCCTCATTTTTAACCTACGGACCCCGTTCCAATAGGGTAAAGGTCTAATAACACAATAAAAGTGGGTTGTTTAAATAAAGGAGTTATAGTCTGAGAATTTATAAAACACATCCTTATTTTTCCACATTCAGCAACACAAAAGGTGTTCAAACATCCTTCTAAAGATTAAGAAT